AAAAAAAGACCAACATTTTTTATTGATATTACAATTAATACAGTAGATATTTTTAGTCTACATTGCCCAAACCCTGTTATACTCAGCTTTTCTTTAGCAAACGTAACATTTAGTAAACTGCTTTTTAACGGCTCCCACAGCGTCAATAAATACCAATCGATTTTTTTTATTTTATAATTAAGATCTCTGAGTGTTTGGAAGATTTTTTTGTTTGTTTGTTTTACATTTTCTGTCTTTTTAGGGTATCTAACCTCCACAATGTTTCATAAAATTCTTTATGGCATTTTAAAATTCCACAAAAATGACATAAATAAATAAAACTGAGATCGCAAGTTGAATTCCACTCGGCTCCTGCTGCAACAGACAGAAATACACACACACACACACTCTTCCCTCTGGAATATTCCTATGCTGTGACAGGACAAACTGGTATGATGAGAAAAGGCTCCAGTTGAGAAACCTAAAATATGGCAGTGATGCCATATTCTGGGGACGAGGGACGGGGGTCCTGCACATACTGAGAGGCTAATTATGCATGTTTCTAGGGCCTTGCAGGCGAATCTGGAGGCAGACAGGAGGGGGATCATTACCAGTGAAAATGGGAACTATGGGGGGTAGAACTCCCTGCTATGAGATCCTGGGAGGAAGAGGAGAGGCCCGGGGTAGAGGCAGAACAAAACCGAAATGGTAGAGCAGAGGAATTAAATGTAAATAATAGCTGCGGTAGATTGTGAATTTGAGTGTTAGTCCTGTTGAGGTTGAGTGCCTGCAGAGACTTTTTACTCAACAATAGACTCACATATCACAAAGCAAGCAGCCCCTCTTGGGCTGAATGCAGCTGATGTATGAGCTGCATAAGCTAAGCCCAAGAGAGAACGAGTGAGATATAAAGACATGGAGGAAGGAAAAAAAAAGAAAGACATTTATTAAGATGATGAAATAAACTTGATGAGATATGTTAAAACTTTTTTTCTTCATGTTTGATTCTAAATGGAGAGCCATATGCAAAATACTTAAAAGCCATATTCAGTCTGAGTACCCAAAGGGTAAACCTGAGTAGAATGCAATCAACAATAATGAAGGTTCATTGAAGAGAAAGACAGATGGCAGAGTGAGATTAAAGCTGGCCTCAAAAGCCAATGTTTGGAGAAATTAAATAAAGAAGAACAAGAACAAAGAGCAACATACAAAAGAAGAAAAAAAGAATCAGGTTGACGATTGTAAGATAGAATTAACCATAGCAATAATCTTTAGGTCACAGAAAATACTAATTTACTAATTATGAATTCTCTTTTAGATAAAAAAGGCAATGCAAAACAAAAACAACACACTCGCTGAACCCAAACACACTCACCAGCCAATTATTGATATCACTGTAAAACCGTCAGCGAGTCCAGGACAGTGTTTGCAGGATTTGAACAATCAGAAAATGAGCCAGAACTCAAACATCCATGTAATTGGCAAACGCAATCATCCCTGTAAAAACCGCGCAGATTTCCATAAACAGAAATCCTGCTACCTCCAGCGGTCCCGTCAAGCGTGGGCATAATTTCTGCGGCACGTGTGACCTCACCAACCGACAGACAGCGATCATGCAAATGCACCATCAAACCTGAGTTGGATCAGCTTTTGAAACCTAAGTTTGTATGTACAAAAGTACATACAAACTAAGAAAGGGGAGCTGAAAGGGAACCATTTCCAACATCTTTTACAGCCATCAGAAGAGCAGGGGTCATCTTTAACTACACAAGAAACACTTAACATCCCCGCATGTAGTAAAAAAAAAAAAAAAAATCTTTTAAAGAACATATAAAATAAAATCTTCTGCAAAGATCCATTTGCCACTTATTTGACAGACTTTTGATTGCACTTGTTAAATTTAAAGAGACTAAAGCTATAAAACATACTCGATGATAAATCTTTGTATTAAAAGAAGAGATAAAAGCCTTTCAAACAGATGTAGTATGAAATACTCCATATTTTACAGACAAGCGTTGCCTGTAGGAACCTGCTGATGCCTTGTGGAGCAGCGATTGAGACTAAATGTTTCTGCTACCCAATTATCAGAAAACTACATATGAACAGCAAAGTTCTGACTGCAAAATGATACAGCTCTTGATATAATAATTGCCATGCCTGGTAAAGAGGTTTTCAAAGGCCTTTCAGATAGATTGTTGTTATGGAAACGTCAAGATGCCAATCTTTGCCTCTGCTCTCTCCTCTGTTAGATGGCAAAATAAACTGAAGTCCTCCCTTATTAGTCATGAGCCAGTTTTAGGTTTTCTTTTTACTTTTTTAATTATTGCCCCGCCTGCAGATACTGACTGAGGTGAGTAGCTGTTATCTTATAATTATTTCCTGACTTGTGAAGATCAGGAATTTTCCATAGGAAGATTTTATATTTTAACTCCAGGGAAATAGAGGGTCACAGATTACTAATTAACATTTTTAAGATACTCTGATCACTTAAAAAAAAAAAAAAAAAACATTAATTGAAAAACATTTAATAAAAAACAGTGGTAAATTTGTTCAAAATTCAGGTATTTAAACCTGAATGAATGTACTCAACATGTTACATTTTCAAACGTAGTTCAGATTGAGATTATGCTACTGCAACAATGCATTTATTTAAAGTCTTCACTCATTTTTATGAGGCAATAACTACTATATTTCTCCTTCCTGATCTGACATGCACATCTTTGTAGTAACTAACATTAATTCTTCACAAGAGACACTTTAAGCATCTTAAAGCACCTTTTTAAATTTGCAATGCAAGGCAATATTTTTATAAGCAACAACAGCAGCATCAATGACTCACATATACTAATAGTGACATTAGTGGCCTTGATAAAATACTTGTAATACTTCCAACCATATTCAGAAGCTTTTTGGATGAGAGGTGAACCAAGAGAGGAAGTCCAGTTGCTAGTGAACAACAACAAGGTGATAAACAAATATTGCTGGTATTTTTACTCACTCAGCCCCTTTGACTGTGAACTCTGGCTTCTTAATGTCTCAGATTAATCTAATGTTGAATCATCTTCATAGCCTTACAGGGCTTGCATCAAAAATATGTTAAAGCCAGCATAATAAATAAGTGGAACAAAAGTGCTTTACCATTTTAGTGTTCAAATCTAGGAATAATTGTGCTTTTTTTTTTAATTTTTTTGCACATCTCTAAGAGTCAATAGGAGAACAAACCCACATCCATAATGGTGTATTAAATACACTTTCTTACTGCCATTACCCTTCATCAACCCCTCATCTTCCTCACCTCATTAATGCTCTACTGTGTTCTGTCGTTCGTCACTTTTCCTTTTTAAGAGACGGGATTGTTAATGGCTCCGGCTTCTGGAAATGCCACACTACGCAGCACAAAAGGGAGCAGTGGTAATGTGTCTGTGCCACATTACCAAACTTACAAAACAAGAATATAAATCCCTCTCAGTTTCCATTGACACCTGCACACCGAAAATGTTCCTTGCTTTTCTCTCTCTGCCCATCGATCCACCGAAGAACAATGAGTGGACAGCTATTAGAAGTCTTCAGAGCATTTTCTATTGCAAAGAAACTATTCCCTCTGGGATGTGATCCACATGATGCATCAGCAAGGGATGCAATCTAGAAAACAATAAAGCCAAATGTTTCATTTTATCCTTACAGAGGATCTCGCAGGTCTCAAACATTTTCCCCAAGTGCCTTTCTGGAATAGTTCTGAAAATATTTCCTCTTTTAAACAATTTCCTTTGTAGAAATCCCACTTCGATTCACTGTCTTTTAACATAACGATGTAACACTTGCAGCTCTCCAGATGAACACTTCTGTGAGTTTGATGTAAGCTTTTAGCTACATAAAACTGCCTTCTCACATGGATAAAAAAAAAAGGCTTAAATCCATTCAAAACCAAATAACCCAAAATAAGAGTTTCACTATTAACGCAGGACAATCTACAAAAATGTTTGCATGCGAGCCAATTTCCACAAACATGTTTACATCAATAATTAGGAACTCAGAGTGCTTGAACATTACTTATATAAAAAAAAGGAAAAAAAAAATATATGTATTTTGCTATAACTACACATGCATATTTGGGAAACTAGATTTCAAGAGATATAATTTTAAATATGTATTTGAATTTGACTGCTAAAACTTTAATAAAACACAGATGTTTAATTATTAGTTCTATGGATTTGTAAAGCTTTTACCCTGTTTTATTTGCACTGATAAACCCATCGCTGTCTCTTTTGATGAACACATTTAGCATTGATGACTTAAAAGAAAATCATGTAATAGTGACAATATTGGCAAATATTCAAATGATATAAGATAAAAACGTGAGTATTTTGGGTGGTAGGACTAAAATCTTTGAAGAATACAACAAATCTTGACAGTTTCCAACAACATAAGATAATTATCATGCTTCCAAAATATGTCATCTCATAACAATTTAAACTAGGTGTATTGCGGTATTTAGCATACTTCTAACACTATAACATAGCGTTTCCAATCTGAAAGTGTTATAACTAATTTCCTCCCTCATACACTCGGTGCTCAGCCCTGCATGCAGAGCTGACAGTGGAGACAACGCGACTTAATCGTGCCGTTTTTGTGGCTAAACCATGAGTCTTCAAGCTCTTCAAATATGTCCAAGTGATTTCCCATTTTTAAGAAGTTAATTTAATGCCTCCACTGACTGTCATTCAGGAATGCACATGGTAATTTTTCATAATAGAAAACATCACTGATGTTTTGCATTAAAGTAGAGGGTACCAAGTACAATTTTTAGCATCCATTTGAAAGTCAAACTAAAATTGTGTTGCAGGCTAAACACAATTAATTTAAAATCAATGAAAGCTCTGACTGAATTATGTATGAGCTGCAATTTGGACAAAAAGACAAAAAAAAAAAAAGAAACTATAACACCCCAATGTACAGCTAGTGGAAATTAGGTTTTGTAGAAAAAAGTCCAACAGTGAAATTAGTTGAAAATGATGACTTACATGCTTCCTGTAGCTGAGCTGCTGTCCGTGGGCAGAGAGCCATTGGAGCGCTCCATCTGAGCCAACCTGAGGAAAAAGAAAAAACCCAAACCACAGTTAAAAACCAAAGCATTCAAAGGCTGTTAGCACATCATTAAAATACAGAACATCACTGCTGACAAACGAGGACATCAAGACCTCAGTGGGACACCGGTTAAAATGTAAAACGTGCAGTCGAGTCAGCGGGAACACAAACCGACAAAGAAATATAAAAAGATTATCTCAGCTTGTGCATGCACATTATATGTGTATGGTTCCATGTATGGAGTCACAAACAGTGAGCAGCATGTATGGATGATTATGCATGGCAGAGATGTGGCTGTGGGGAGGGAAGATGGATTTGGTAAAAACATTTATGTTTTCATCATCGTAAATCCACTCAAAAGCAGTTATGCTAATGAAGTCAATTCACGGAGCTTGCATGCAACAGAACTCCACAAAACAGAGAGATCAGGGGTAAAGTAATTCATGTATTATCCTTAGTGATTAAAATAAACTGTGAAAGAATATGTATAGGAGGGATAAATCTCAGATCTTACCAGTGTGTTCAAGCTAGCGTAGCAGTGTAACAGCAGTGACTATATGTCATTTGAATTTATCATTCCCAGGGCTCAAATGTGTCTTTGTTAATGGCAGTTCAGCCAACGAAGGTTAATGGTGTGTAGCCAATTAAAGGTTTCAGACCAGATAAAGCACTGCTGCATCAGATGACTCTTCATGATTAAAGTTCTGCCTGTAAGAGTTTTATTTTAACACAAATAATCCTTGTCCGCTTCAGGGGTTAACAGATTTGGACGGATAAGAAACTCATCTAACTTATCTGAGGGGTCATGGTTTACCGATTTAAGTATTCAATATGTTTAGCTTACAGATAACACAGTGTCCAGGAAGCTGAACATTAGTTTGGCTACGACGCTAATAGTGACACAGTGCGTGCGCGCGTGTGTGTGTGTGTGTGTGTGTGCGAGCTTCTTTGAAGCTGGCATCTGAAGGCTTTTCTGATCACAGCAGAAAAAAACTGAATGGCACGGATTAAGTTGGAGGTCGGCAAACGACAGATTTTGGAAATTATTTGACATTTGAAAAGATGCAAACAAAAGGAGACGAAAGGAACGTTGATGTCCGTTTGGATAAATCATGAAGACACCAACAAAAAAAATTCCACCAGAATGTATTTTTCAGTGTAACCAAGATTAATTCATATAATTTATCAAATCATACTGTTTTTATATTATAAACCTCTTTAAAAATGCACAACAGTCCACATGTTTATAGTAACTACAGTGCTGGGAAACATTTGATTTCTGGACTACACAACATATTTTCCCACCAACAGATACTTGAGCTGTGAATCTCTACAGCTGCCTACAGTTATCAGGAGTCTTCTGGCTGAATTTTATGTACGCTTTCCTTGCCCAGTCTGAGTTTAGGTGATGATTAGGTATGGAAACTTTTTCATGTCTGCCTTTAGTCAATATCCATATCCTAATTTATAGAGATTGTATTTAAACTACAGACTGAATGCCAGTGCAACCAGAAAGGGAACACGTATCTTTCATAGATAACTGAGGAGAACGTCACATCTGAACAGCTTCAGGTGCAACATTAATGGTTATAGGAGCGGGTGGATGCAAAGATTTGAGCAGCTTTTCAAAAATTGCAAGAAAAAAAACAAACAAAAAAACTTAATTTCCAAAAGAGACAAAATTAAATATGAATGCCTTCAATATTTCAGTGAGGATGATTCATAAAGCTTAGGATTTCACATCTTTTCACTCTTCCTAACTATGACTGCCACTGCCCTAACAACTTATTTAAAGACCAAAACCTTTTTTTCTTGAGTTTGAAATTCTTTTGATGTGTCAAGCAGTCCCCGTTTTCTTCTCTTGTGCCTTAAAGTTGTGCAAAAACCTCGACGCTGTTCCTTCCCAATATATTCAGAATGTTTCATCTCTAAATTTGAGCCATTCGGTGATCATCTATTGGCCTTTTCCACAGCATTACGAATCGTGCGAGTATTTGCATGGCCCCCTGTGTCACTGGAATTGATGAGATGTTGACAGGAGATTGCAGAGCGTACCTGCTGGCATACTGCTCTATCCTGGAGTGGGTGTCGTCGTGAGAGAGCTGAGGTGTCTGGGACAGCCTGGAAAATGAATGGAGTAATGGAGATGGATGAGATTCGGCGCGCTCACACGGCCTCGTTAAAACAGAAAATCACGAGCACATGCACACACACTCGTTCACGCACTCACAACCTAATGGCCCCACACAGCTTCACCTAGAAACAAATCAGATGATCCTACAGAGAGAGAAATATGAGAGCGGGATGATCTACGGAGCGTTTGGATGCTTTTTGACAGGCTCGCGGGGATGAGACACTGTATTCTAGGTGGTAGCTTTAACGAGAAGAGGAAGGTGAGAAAACGACAAGTTTTGTTTTTTTTCGTCCCCCTGTTTTCGGTCGGATGTTCAACCAGCGGATCAGGCAGAAAAAGCAGGCGGTCAAGCAACATGCAGTCAAAACTTAGGTGATGCGAGGATTTCGGTGGTGGTGGGAGATGAGGTGCTGAGTGAGGAGTGAAAGGAGCAAAGGGAGGTGTTGTTTTAAAGGCATTCCAGTCTGGAGACGGGGTGTAGTTACTGGTGGCTCATACTCACTCATACTGCTCCGGACACATGCTGATGAGAGTGACGGGACTGTAAGAGAAACCGAGGGAATGAGGGGGAGGGAGTAAAGGCACCACAAAACAGTTTTAGGGTCAAAATCACTCAGTTTGTCTGAGAAAGAAAACACAGCAGATGGAGGAAGAAGAGAAAGAGGAGGGGGGGGGGGGAAAAAACACCTCTCAATATGCGTGCATCCAGTTGCTGAGCAGCTGGGGCTCAGCATATGGGGAAGAGATGTTATGCAATCAAGAATATATGTACACACCGCAAAAAAACACTTCAAACTCTTTCATATGAGAAAAGATGTCAATAAAAAACATTTGAATTTTTTTGCACATTTGCAATAATGTGCAAAAATCCAGGAAAACAACAACATCTCCATTTCAAAACTCGGGTGAGAATCGAGAGGCCACAAAGTGTAAGACGGCTCTTTTTCATCTGAGAACGAGTGTCTATTACTTAAAAATCTAAATGATCAATGGATTGAACAAGAATAAGAACATCATCTAAGAATTAGTCGATGTAAAAAGCCCTACATTTGTCTAGAAATTTAGATCATTAGCTTTGAGATCATGAAATAAGATGTAATGTCTGGAAACTCAACTTTTTTCCAAACTCAATTTTATACTTAAAAACGTTGAAAAATCACAAAACAAAATGCCATATTTCTCCAGGCTGCATTCAGGTGTGTTCCAACAAACATTGTAATAATCATCAAAAATATAAGTCAATAAACATATAAACTACATTTAATAAAGCATTTGAGAAAATAACATAAAAAAATTCGTGTTGCAATAGTTTATACATCACGCTGTCAACTTGGCGTAAGCTCAAGATGTTCTTTACATTTCCTCAAAGGCAAAACAGGAAAAAACAGGAAACAACCTGCCTTCACACATTCACCTTTCCAGTCTCTCATAATTTCTTCTACTTTAATATAGGGATATAAACTCAGAAGATTTAAAAAAAAATAAATTCAATAAAACATGTTTTGCTCTCCCAGAGGAAGCCAACTGGTGGTTTATTTTATTTTTAGTGTTTTTCCCACTACAGGAGCACAAGCAGTGCTCAGTGAAAATGAGCAGCGATTTGTTTATTTACAAGTTGAATTGAGGATAGCAGAAGATATCAGAGCAGAAAGCAGAGAAATGGAAGCGAGGAAAAGATTGAGATTGGAAGAAGGCAGCTTCTGCTCTGAAAGAACAGAAACTCGGTGTGCTCACGTTGTCTTTTAAGACGAGGACCTCAAGTTGGCCTTTTGAAAGTATGAGCACTTTGACAGGAACAATTTGCTTTCACTTAAAGTTGCCTGAAATGCTTTATGTGGCATCTTTCTTCACTTTTACATGGAAGAAAAGGGTCACAATGAAGGCAGGAGTTTTGAATCTGCTAACCATCTGGACAGAACAGGTTTACAGCCAAACAGATGAATGGATATAATCAGAAAGAGGGACACCAAGATTTTTATTCAAGATCAAAAATGCTTTGTTTAGTAAAAAACTTTAAGTCAACATTTTAAAGAGGGGTGTGTGGATAATAACTCCAACGCCTTGGCAGCACTTGGGAAGCTCTTTGGTTGTCGTTTTCCTCCAGCTACTCTTGAAAAAACAGAAATGCTGACTGGGAAAAAGCAAAAAAAAACTACTAAAAGAGCCCATGTCTTTTTTCATCACCTTATATATTTGTCATATCTGCACAGCATGTGCTTTCCTGTTTTGTCTCAGGCTTTTCTTTTTTCCTTCAAGGTGAATGCCCTGAACAGCTTCTAAAAATCAATTTGGTCCATCATGCTGTGGTAGTCATTTTGTCACCGTTAGCACAGGGTTTTTTTTTTTCTGCGTTTCCCCTCCCTCATTTTTTGTCAGCAGTAAAAAAAAAAAAAAAAAACACATGTGCATGCTGACACCTCAACCTGTCGGATTCAGAGAGACAGCTAGAGGGCTGGAACGAAAATCCAGCAAATATATGAACCAGTCGCTTACTGACAGATGCATCTTTAAATGAATTCCTCTTAAGAGGAAACTGAAAGCAATGGAAGCAAATAACAGCAAATATAATGAGAGAATTTAAATGTAATATCCCTACTTATTATTTTTGCTGAGTCATGTTTGCTAGTGCTAACTTACTGAAAGCAACAAATTCTGGAAGTAAAAAAAAAAAAGGAAATTAAATTCAGATAACCTGGGAAGATGAATAACAAAATATCCACTAACCTGAATATCAAACAGAGCGTCTGTTGTGAGATAGATTACTAATCTGCTAAATGTTCTCATGGGGTTTTTAAATGTTTATGTACTTTCAAGCAAATTTAAGAATAAAATTTACTGTTTAACTCAAGCTATGTTTTAGAAATTATCAAACAGATTTTAAAATTAAATATGAAACAAAATAACTACTTTCTGTGCAGCAGTAGTGCAACTCTTGAGAACATTAATACTTTCAACCAGCATCTTATAAATTAATCTCCAAACCCATCAACGTCTTTGCAAAAGTCTGAATCATGTCACGAAGGGCGAACAGTAAAAATGTTAAAAACAAAACAAAACAAAAAAAAAAACCCAGCTTGGTTCTTTCAAATTATCAAATATAGCTGTGACAAATCCAAAATCCCATCTGGTGCGACATGAAGCAAAAAAACAGTAGAGAGGTTTGGGTAGGTGGTGTTTTGCTCTCTCTCGGGAAGAAAAACAGAGTGGGTGGAATAAAAAACAGAGAAAGTAAAGAAGAGAGAGGCTAGGAGTTTTAGGGAGGGTAATTATTCAAAACCTAATCTTGTTTTCTCTTCTGACTCTACATCAACACAAACATTTGAAAATTATTGTAACTCTTGTCACAATACAAAGAATATAGACAAATATAGAGTTTAGAGTAACTGAAACTACCAAGCCTGTTTTTATTGAAACAATCTAGTTTACAGTAAAGGACTACGATTTCAAAAGTAGGATTACAAACAGTGAGGTTATTTCCTTTTCAGACAGTCTAAATATAAGATTACTGTGTTCACAGTCTTGATAGTGTAGTGTTCACTTGAGACCAAATGTAGTGAAAGAAACCGTAAAATGATCAATAACTCCACTCTCCACTCCCTTCTGCTGCTTTTTTTTTTTTAAAAAAAGATCCCTTTCAAAAATATGTTTTCCCCTTTAAGGACATTTATCAAGGAGAAAGCTCTGCAGGAGTCATTTCTCAGCGCTGAGGGTTAGGAAGTGAACCGAGTAAGGTGGGAGGTGGAGGAGGACGACGAATAAGGACGGTAAGTGCAATCCATCTAAGTGGTAACTGTGGGCAACTTTAAGTTATGAGACCGCTTTTGTACATCTACATGCGAGTCATCCTGGGAGCCGAGGTGCAGCTGCAACAACGTGTTGCAAAACTAACAAAGGAACAGCGAGAAATAAACAGGAGGAGGAAATACATAATGGCTTTTCCCACAATGACAGTGACCGACGAAAGAGACAAACCACCCGAGTTCGGTAGCAAAGATGGATAAAATGAGATGTGGAGTCTGGGCATTTGCCTAATATGGCTCAAGTTAAACAGTTTTCCAGAAGGATTTACAAAACCTGGCGGAAAAGAAATAAAACTACCAATATTGTGGTGGATGCAGCAGAAAAATTATCTACTTCAGAACCATATATCCACAACACAACACTGTTTGTTTGTTCTTTGGACCTGCTACTTCTGGAGGGTTTTGCCTCTTTAACATGGAGTGCATGTTGTTCCATCTTGTCCAACACTGAATTTGTCATGTTTTGATATTATCAGCACATCACAAACATTTTATAGAGTGAAAGTCTTTATGCAATTATCAGCAGTTGGGTAACAAGCGGAACCTCATCTCTCTATTCACGTCATCTTTAGCAATTTATACCCAGCCAAGCTAAACTGAAACATCACTTACGTCTCCATGTTGTCTCCCTCCAAGACTGTCTGGACTGGCAGGTAACCCAGCCGCGGATGCTTGGCAAAGTACTTTTTCGATCGGAATTTGTTCTTCAGCACTTTGGTGAAATCTCTCATGTCCTCGCCTGATGTTGTCTGTAACAGGGAATAAACAATGCAGAGCGTTTCTTGTATGGATGAAGCATTTCCACAGTCTCTCATGAACATGTAATCAAGATCAGCATTTCTGTGGAACTAAATTAGTCTGTTAATTAGACAACAAGCAAAGGTGTTTCTCCTGCAGAAGCAATTTCAGCCACGCAAGCAAACAACAAATTAGCACAACAGTCTGACCAGAGGGAGAGTAAAATCCCTTTCTAAGGGATTTATACAAACACACAGACATTCACACACATCCAGGCCCAAAAAAGAAAAACACAGCTTCAACAGATGACGGATATGTGTAACAGGCTTGTTAAAGCTCACATGGCTTACAGGCTAATCCACACAACTTAAGATGGTAGCTTGAACAAATCACTGGCACGTACAGAGCAGCTGCACGAAAAAAAGCCAGAGCTTCATTAAATCTCTCCTGTGACTTTGCCAACATGCCATCTTAGATATTGGAAGCCTAATGAGCCCATATTCCTATCAACTTATACACTGCCCAGCTAAAGTCTTCACATGCCTTGAACATTTTCACAATTTGTCACATAACAACCACAAACTTCAACACATTTCTCTTGAATTTTATCCATGTAATTATGAAGTATAAGGAAAAAGACAAATGTTTTTTTTATCAAAAAAATCTGAAAAGGATTGAAGTCCTTTTCAACCTCTTTTGCTCTGATACCCCCAATTTAAATCAGTGTAACCAAGTGGTAAATAAAGTCCATTTGTTTGCTTGGTTCCAATTCAAATACAGAGGTTCTGTGAGGACAGAAGCAGCTCATAGGAGCTCTGCAACTCAGGTTGGAGAAACTAGCATGCATACATGTCACAAATCTGGACTTTTAAGACAGGATAGCAAGAAGAAAACCATAAATATTTCCATTACCAGTTTGCTATAAGCCACATAAGAGGTGTGTAAGAAGATGCTCCCGCCATAAAAGGCCAACATCAAATTTTTGGTCCATATGGAAAATAATGTGTGCAGGAAAACCAAGACTATCCATCACCGTGAATAAACTACCTCAGTTATAAAAGATTTACATATAATTGAAGAAAACATGTCAAAGACTGCACCAGTCCTGAGACTGAAGAGCAGGACTCTAAACACACAGCCAGAGCTACAAAAACATGATTTACGAAAAATTCAGCCATCCAAAGCTGGCAGAGACGACCCCAACAACGTGCAGATTGTTTAAAAAATAATCAATAAGAGAAAGCTGAAACCAAATGTATAAATGAAAAATGTATTTGCCACCCTCTAAACGTATTGGCCCGAGTAATTTCTTTGTCAAAATATGATTGAGGTTAGAAAAAAAAATCACTTTTGGCAGAAAATGACTAATGCCACCATTTTAGGAAGGTGATGATTTAAGCCCATGCATCCTCATTCACTCCCATTTAAACACCTAATACTTTGTCTTTGTCTGTCACAAAAATCCTAATATATTAAACTGAGGTTTGTGGTTTTCAATGTCACAAAAAATGGAGAAATTCAAGGACTTTGAATAGTTCTGAAAAGAACTGTAAATGAAAAATGCAGCACAAGAGCTGCAAAGAGAGCCCAGCGGAAATAAATCAACAAGTCACAGTAATATAGTGGGTGTTATAATCCCTAATATGTTCCCCCTGGGAATGTGTTTGTAACACTTCAACAAATATAAATTCTCCAAAATGACAGCAGACATATTAGCTGTAGAATTTGAACTACAACAACACAGCCCCTCAGGAAAGGTAAAAGCTTAAAGTGAGAGACAAAACAAATTAAAAGTAGGACATTTTCTCCAGCACATTTATAAACTAATGAAAGGCAATATAACAGCTATAAAATAAACAATAAGACAAATATGGAGATAAATGGCATACAGCAGCTGCACAGGATCCAACTAAAGCCAATTTAACAGTCTAAGTTTGTCAGACAGTGTATGACTCAATGAAAACTCGAGAAGCTTAACATGAACAAATGTGATTATATATTATATTGACATTTTTAGGGTAAAATACAGTAAAAATATCACAACTGTTTAATAAAGTTGTGGTGCACTGTGACATTTAAAATGAAGAAGTGAGTTGATTCTGTTTTTGCTCGCTCGCGTAGAAATGACATATTTCAGACCAACGTGTTTTTCCCCAGCCTCCATCACCTGAAGGATCAATAAATCTGGGTCAAGCTTGATGAGCGAGCTTCATGTTCAACTTTCTCAGCTTCTAATCGAAAGCAAACACCTTTCAAGGTTTCTCTGCTTTTGTTCCTACGACCAACCGGGCATCGATCTGTGTGTGTTCGGACGTCATTTCAGCTGCAAAACAGTTTTGTGAAAACAGGGCCTTATATGTTCCACTCTTTATGCGTAGGCTTTGTAAAGTTCATAAACAAAACGTGCTTACTAAAATCTAGAGAGCACAAACCATCTGCTTTTCACTATCTGCCTACATTTGGTTCCATTCATTGCTTTATGATCAACTTTGAAAGCCGTTTATGCTGAAAAGCCTTCAGCCAGCCTCCTGCAGTCAAAGCTGTTTCAGAAGATGTAAAGTTGTGGCTGCTTGCTAGCAAGCATATAGAATAAAAATCAGCATTGTTGCCTTTAAGTTCAGATACCCCATTAGTCTGTGATCTTCCTTGATCATTTTTTTCTCAGACATTGTCCAGCCCCAGATATCGCTTTCCCTCGCAAACGGACCAGATCTCTGCCGCACAGATGGCACAATGTGCCATCATTTCATTCTTATCAGGAAGGTTCTGCCAAACAAAGTCAATCTTTTACAGCTGCGCCGGTTGTTCAGCGCCACGCTCCGAGAGTCGGTTTGAGATCTGTCCTTGCTCTGCTTCTGACAGTGTAGCTGGTCTCTGCAGATAGTCACAGGGCATTTGCAAAGACATGGCAGAAAATTTGAGAGAAGTCGGGAATACAATTTTCTCCCCCCACCCCCCAAGCAAAGAAACTCTTATCATGTGCAACTGAAAGACAACAATTATTACAATACCCACTCAGAATTTAAGCTACATTGCTGACGAATGCGGAAAAGTGTATGGTAAATCTTATTTGTTGAATATTGCATGCATTTTTCCTTCAAACTGAGCTAATAGCTACTAAACTCATGAGCAATAAATTAATCGCATAACTACAAACAGATAACGTAAAAATAATTTGGATAATTTGACACTGTGTAGCAGCTAAATGTAAATAATTTTCCTTTTTCTGCTGTCGGTATCCTTGCCCTTAAAGTCACCATTAATCAAATTTGCAGATTTAAAAGAAAATGTGGAATACTGATGTATTATGAATGGCGACTTCAGTTACTGAAATAATCTGGGTGATTTTGAAAAGCAGTGGCCTGTAAAAGTAATGTATAATTTGAAAATGAGAATAATGTTTTATTTCTAGTTTCTCACACAAACCTTACTCACTTTGCTGCACTGAAGTAAGACAAATAATAATTTAAAAAAAACATCTGGAGGGGAAAGTAAACCAATAAACGATGTTTTCTTTTCATTTTATTTGTGTTAAGAACGTAGATAAATAAAATTCAATGATCTGCTGAGAAGCAGATTCTTCAATATTAAACAATATTTCTCTACTCTGAATGTTTGCTGTAGGGACATGCTGAAGCTATGTGTCAGCTTGTATTAATAACAGGAAGTAACTATGATCTGCTTATGTGGCAGCAAATAAGTATGAAAAAAAAAAACTAGTAAGAGTTTTAACACACAATTTCCAAGTTTAAACACTGAAGGAAAGTTCTAAATAGCACATCCAAATGGCTCAAGAATAAAGAAAGAAAAAAAAAATAAAATCACAAAATGAAGGTTTTGGTGTGGCACAGTCAAAAAGTCCAAACTCACATCTGGTTGAGATTCATTCAACTCTCAAATGTGATTGAAATAAAACAAATCTGGAAAGAATAATTGGACAAAATTTGCAAACAATGACAAACATTTAATGAGTCAGTACCTCCAAGGGTGGCACAAGTTGTTACAAGGTTTAGGGGAAGCGTGAGAAAACTGAATAAATCTGTAAGGGGCAAATAGATTAGAATTTTGATTTTAAAAAATAAGATAAACGATTTTTCATAGGAAAATCCTACAAATTTCTATAGGTATGGATATCCAAATCAAACACTTTTTTTATTGGTCTGTTTAAAAATAATTCAAGATTATTTGTTTCAGGACGAACCACTGTTGGAAATAAAGAATCTAAATTAACGCGAGAGGAGAAACAGGCCAATTGGGCTTTGTTGAGAAAAGAACGCCTTTCTTTTCTACAAGACAATGTCCCAATGCAGAAGCGAGAAGTATAACAAGAAATTGGTTTCCCTGTCTGCACAAAACACTTCCAACACCTTTGGGATGAACAGGAACGCTGACTGTGAGCCAACAGCTTTTGTGTTTTCCCACTATGGCTGAGGCTGTTTTGTGGTTGGAGGAAAACACTTCCAGCCAAGTTCTAAAAACATTTTCGCAGACGTCCCCACTGGAATGAACATTGTTTCAGCCAAAGCAGGAAGCTTTGAGAGGAGTGGACGCTTAATAAAAACTTAAACTAGTCAAAAAAGAAACTTAAATCATGGCGAGGAAATGAGGCAACAGCAAGATATTACAAGAATTACCATTGGATATGGCTAAAATGCAGTGATAGTTCAGGAGTCTCTTCATGTAATAAGGAGGATTAATATTCACTGGTTGAAAGGCTGTGTCTAATTTGACATTAAGATGGGCGAGAAGGTTATCAGACACTAAAAAGTGTGAATTTGACTGGATTAATTTAATTGTTAATTGGAGTGTGTGGGAAGGAGATACGACGTAAGCTAGCGAGGAAAGCGTGCAGACACATGTGAGTCAGGCTGTGTGTGTGTTGCTTCCTCACCGGCGTGCAGTATTCAACCATGGGGTAGTTGAGCTTGTGGCCCTTGGCAGTACGCCCAGAAAAGAAGCAGCTCTGACACACGTCGTAGTTGAAGTGCTTCAAACTGCGGTACCTACGCAGAAACGGAGAGAAGTAGGATGGGGGAGGAAAAAAAAAGTGAGGAAAGTTGGGTTAGGACGCACTGTCATGAAATGTCACTTCAACATCCTCTGGGTCCGTTGTTCTGCGAGCGCACAAGTGAGCAGATACTCTTGCCCCACAACACGACTCGTCATCTGGAGAGCTGTCGATCCCCGCTGTCACGCCGTCAACCACATGTTCGTAGACGCACAAAAACTACATGCAGACAGAATGACAGACTGCTGGATTTGCACACAAGCAACAATCTGACAACAGCTTTGGGGTTGCTGTCGTCAGCAGCAGCTGTAGCAAGTCTGCCATTTAACAGCTAAATTGAGACAGGAGCCATTCAGACATAATAGCTTAAGTCTTTTATCTTTCTCCCCTCTCCAGCTTTCCCCAAGGTTAGCTGACTGATGAGCTACGAAAGAGAGCTATACATCAAAGGATGCAACAGTGCACACAACTGCACCAAGTCAAATACGCCATTACATCCTGACAAGAAGCATATTACTATGAGGAGAGGGCGTCAAGTCACCTTCATTCAGGAGGTGATGAGGTGGCCCTGAATTAATTAGTTTAGATACCCAACAATTCTGGCTAATTATGAAATCAGCGTTCACTGCTCTTTTAAGAGGAAACCCGCAAACATTTGAAAAGTACGTCAGAAAAGGACATGTTGCTAGGCCTGTCACAATAACAAATTTTGCTGAGCGACTGTCTAAAAAATTATTGCGATAAACGATAATATTGTTTAAAGACCAGTTGACACTGATTTAATGGAAATTACTAATAATGCATGTGATTTCCTGCCATAGATAGATACACTTTATTTTCAAAAGAACACATAACACTGGAACTGATCAACTAAATTAACAAAACAACCAAAAACAAAAATAAAATGGATTTTCAGTCTCCATTAATAAAAAATGTACTTGAATAAAAACTAAACATAAAGCAAAAGTGGAAATAAATACTGCATTCAACCAAAAGAGTGCAGATTATGAAGTCTGTATACTGTATGTGGCCTTCAGTAATAACTAGATTTAAATAGAGCACATCCTGACGCAATAGTTCACACTACACGATTTATTGCCCCTATTTTCCCCTTACTCTAGCCACATGCATCACAGGTAGATTCTAGTAAAGCATTGATTAATGCCTGATACTAAAATTAGTTAACTGGACTTGTAGCCATTATTTTGTGCCCATGTGGCTGGACACAACACGGCACGATGGAACCCGATTGAACCGTTATACCTAGGATTTCTGTCGGCTAATGTGTCTCAGGTTTTGAAAATGGGCCGACAGCTTGTGTAGTGTGCGCTGGACATCACACTAAGGAAATAGGAAGGGAGGGTCAGTGCAGAGCACCGGAGTTGAACCTTTTTTCATTCAGTGTCATCAACAGAAAGAAAAAAGGCAGGAAGAGATGATAAAACCAATAATTAAAATTAATTTATCGTGCGATTAATTGATTTATCGTTTATCGCGACAGGCCTACATGTCGCATTACTTTAACACAAATTTGAGGTAGCAGTAGATTCATTCTTACAGGACTACCATGGCACCTGCTTCACTCCAAGGTGCAGTTAATGAAATGAAGAAAGCGTCACCACAGATTATGAGTAGTTTAAGCTATCATCTGAAGCAATCCAAACCAAACTAATGCCATTACTGGTGCTAACAGTGACTCACTGGAGGCCAAATGCTCCTTCGCTTCAGTATACCGTTCAGAGTTTCTGATGATCGAACAATAGCATAGAGAAAGCGGAAGCCAGAATTCATGTCCTTGATACAAAGCATCTTTTCAACAGGATCAATAAGGTGCTTTTTGTACAAAAGTACCTGAAGAACTTCTTTCTTTCTGAACAAGAAAAAAAAAAAAGATAAATTTTTGACTTTGACATTCTGCCTATAGGTGCTGTCTACATCAAAGTGGATGAAAATGTTATAAAGATAATGAATGTAAGTATGAAAATTTAAATAATTAACAACCTAGCTAATGACTGATTTCTAGCAAACTTTTATCCTCACATTTCTTATTTATTGGTTTATTTTTACACTTGTATTATCACAAATTATTCTCAAAGGTTGTGATTATATTAGCTTGTTGCTTAATATTCAAATGTTTTTTTACAGCGAATGTGGCAATTTATAAACTCTTTTTAATTGACAAAGTAATTTATTTTTGAAATTTGGCTTAAGCAATCAAAAACAACTACAATTCCATTTTAAATAATGTAGTCTACCTCTAGAAGATATATATTTTAATTATTTTATAGTCTAAAAGTATTATTTTAAGTTTTTTGGAATACATTTACCATATTAGGTAATATTTGGATAAAAAAATGCTAATATTAGTTATATAAAAGATATGAGATGCATTTATCAAAAACAGACATGATGGATGACGCACTAATGCCCTCGGTTAAGTTAGAGTCTCTACAATTGACTAAATTGTTTTGAAGTATTCTTTAAAAGTTCTTTAATAAGTAATCATTGCCTTGAAGCAACCTGATAAAACATAATTGCAGGTGTACAATAAAACTTTTTGTCCTGCAAAGGAAATACAAACATTTAATATAAACTAATTTAGAGTTTTTGATCTTTGGCATCTGAGTTAAATTACTGAAAACACTTTTTCTTCACTCTTCCTAAATCCTGTTACAGAAAATATTTAATCCAGTCTGAGTTAAAACACTCATAATGACACATTTTACTTAATCTCGTTAAAAAAAGATACAACCTTCAAAACAAGCCACATTTCCCCCCCCCTGTTTCTTGGTGTGACGTCTTCAGACCACACAAAACGCCTGCTATGCATTTTTCTTCCTTTTTCATTTTTGCTATCTGCCTTTCCTTCCCACCAACACTTGCGCTCATCGATCAATGACAGAACTTGGAAGATGTGTGCTTCATCAAATGTCTGGATGTGTTTCTCTTTCTGCTTGCGAAGCAATGGATCTCCAGAGGACAATTCTGCCACTCTGCGCGACTTCAGGCATGACGAGATTCCTTCCCTCTTGGCTGGATAGAGCAAACCTGGATTTCTTCCATCAGCTCACCAAAATGGTGGATCTTTATTTACCAGGGTGAAAGTAATTTATCAAGGCGAGCCGAAACCTTTGCAGCTGTGGAAACATGCAGAGGTTTGTTACAGGTTTTAAAGGCTCTTTGTAAACTTTGAGGAAGCAGACTTGTTTGATTTGTTTGTTGGTGGACGCTGTTTTTATTCATTATTTTTTTTAGGAATGCATGCTTCATTACAAACCTACTGGTGGTATTTACTCAGTAGTATATCAGCTGCTGACATTTAGATAAATGTCTGCCCTCCGGAGCAGATCTGCCCTTTCTGCTCAAGAGTGAACAACCCACAAGAATGTCACATGATGTGTACGAGACCTCGTTACAAGCTGCAGACTTAATCACACCTTTTTTTGCTTTACAATTTTGCACAAACGAACACGAGAATGTGAGTGTTTGTACCTGAAGCCCACAATCGGACACTCTTTGCAGATGTTACACTTGGCCTGATGTTTGGCCGTCTCTGCGGCAGCCACCCTGTGCAGGACGGGGAGCCAGACCATCGACTGAGGCTCCAGCCGCATCCAGTCCACAAACTGCCGAGGCTCCAGCTCCACCTTGTTGTTCACCTGTTCATAAAAAGCGACATGTGGTAAAGAATAAGGAGCTGGAAACCCATAAAGCAAAAGTTTATCAACCATATGAGGTTTATGGTTTCTATAAAATTTCAGCAAAGCGAGGTGATAAACTGTAAGGGCACTTTGCAGCATGAGATACAATCAAGTACATCCAGTAAATGCTGCAACTCTGTACTAAACTCCTAATAAACATGCAGACAAATTTAAGATGACCATATATATTAGAATGAAAAGCCACAGTCCCTGCTATGGCTTTGAGTCTTGAACAAGACTGAATAACTTTTATGAGCTCCTAATTGTTCTTACACTAAACATTGATTGATGTTAACATCCCCATGCTGATCCTGTAGCTGCATTTTTAGTAATGATGCCCAGACCATTAAAAATCCCCAAGCATCTGCTCTTAAATGCATTACCAACCTTGGCCTGTTTACAGAACCAGGATTTCTTTTTCTATCGTCTGTTCACAATCGCTTTAAGCTGAAATTGAAACCATGTCTTTCGGCTACTGGCAAACACTCCCTGTCACAGCAGTGTCAGCAAAATATTTTTAACAGGATGTAATAATGAGCCCATTAGACAATCTAGCAGCTTTGACATGGTTGCCATTACCTCTCCAGAAATGAAAGACAACCTTTCCATCATCCCTGACTCACATAAAGGGCAGCGAAGGAAGCAAAGGGCAGAATACATCGGTAATAAGAGGAGTGACTTAACAAAAAGCAACAGGATGTTCCTGTTCGCTCATATTGTGCGACAGCCTACACAGCATCTCGGCTTTATTAGTGTACCTCTACAAATACATCCATGCTAAATACACAAAGCTAAAGCAGTCCTAAGATTAATATACTAAATAAATAGATGGTATTTAAAAAATACTTCATAACATAACTATATAGATATATACAGACAATGCTCTCTCTCCATTTCTCTATCCTTTATTGCTAATTCTGCTACTAAAAATAACTTGTGTGAAATAAAATTTTCTATTAGTCATTGCAGAAACAAACAAGACAATTTGACATTTAATGAATTTAAAAAAAAAACCTCATATATAAAATATTCTGGTATGAAGATTGTTAGAAATTGCCTGGAAGAAAACATGTGCAACCTGTGGATGAATATTGTGCTGTCATCGGTTCTGGTTACGTGAAGGAGACTTTCACCCTCGGATTAAGAGAGAAGATTACCTCAGATATATTCTTCACCTGGCTGACATCTCAGATCGTCATTAAACTCGTCACCCTTTCTCTGACCTTTGCCAGCACAATCTAACCGTCTCTTCCATCACATACATTAGTCTCATCTTTGCCTTCCGTCTTTCCTCCCTGGCATCTAACTGCAGAATTATAGCACTTACAGATTAATTACTGCCTGGCTGAAAGGATGACCGGACAGAAGGATGGATGGGAAAAACTGAAGTAGCGCGACAAAAGGACAGAGAAGGAGGCTAAATTTATGCCATGCGACTCCTTCAGCACAGAGCTATTAAAGCAATTGGACTTGGGGGTTCTGCAGAGTCGGTCTCTGACCAGACAAACTGAAGCACAAAGCCAGCACTGTGCTTACGCAGGTGGTTTACTGGGAGGTAGTGTGTGTTATTTTCTGGTTTTCCCTGCCAAAACATTGTTGGATGTTTGAATGATTAATGAGGAGCTCAACTACAGCTGACACCGAGATTCATGACCAAACCTGGGAGCAATTTGTTTGTGTGCATGTGCATGTTTGTGTACTGAAGCGTGCTCACCCCCATCTATGTCCACATGTTTGAAAGCAACATCAACAAGAAGATGTGGAAGAGGACTTTCTTTGCAAGCTGAAATCTACCTCACTCTGATATTTTTTGGAGTTGCAGTGCAGGGAATCGGAAACATTTATGAGGCTGATTTAATGTCTGTTTCTCTCTCTCTTTTTTTTTTTTTTTATAACGGTCAGGGCATAAGTCAGGGAAGAAACAGTAAACACAATCAAACAGCGAATCCCTGAGGAAGAGCAACATCGTTAAACAACAGTAAAGTCTAAAATTAAACCTGAGCTAGATGGCTATTGTAAAACTCAAAAGGACAGTCAGCAAAATAGTTTGTGTCAATACAGCATTTATTTTTGATGCTGGCGCAAACGGCTTGGTAATGAAAACAAGGTTGTTAAAAAAAGATCAGCAATCTGGTGCAACTGAAGGAAAAAATATATATTTTCATGTCCTCGTTTATTGTTTTGGACAAAGTTGGATTTTTGTTCACAATTACGTGCTGCTTTGTGTCAAAAAATCTCAACAAGACACACACAAAAAAAATCAAGTTCAAAGGAGAGAGCACTTTTGAAAGTCACTTTATGCGTTTGGAAGCCATGCATGTTTCCATCTGCGTGTTATCTTACATGCTGGAAGCAGCTGCGGACGCTCGGTTCGATGTTGGACCCCCCGAACGCGGCCACCTCCCCCAGCTGCCTGGGGATCTGGATGGCTTCGTGGAGCAGCAGACCGAGCTGCCTCTGGTCACACGTGTCACCGGCTGACGCTACCTGGCTGAAGAGATCTGTGGAAGAGCGCAGTGGAGCGAGAACAAAAAAAAAAAACAAAAAAAAGGGGAAATAAAATTAGGATGAGGGAGTGAGAGAAAAGTCACAGAACGTGGGTGATATTGAGAAGGAATACGCAGGTATAAATAGATACGATGGGAGAAAGAGCGACGGTATAGATGCAAGTGGGAGGAAAGCGTGTTGTAAAGTGTGTGCACGCAGGTAGGAGTTGATGGGGAGGACACAGAAAGCACCAGAGGAACAGAATCAGTTTTAATCTCTCCAACTCGGTTTTTCGGTACCAAGCTGTTTCCCCCCCGCTAATCTCTCCTTCCCTGCTTCCAAATCTCCTGCTTCCATGGAGACTGACAGAGCTTCACTGGATGAGGATGGCTACCTGCTGACACTTGTCACATGTTGACATTTTTGTTTCTGATAATGTTATGAAACACCACAGAGTTTATTACACAAAATAAGCAAACAGGGGTTATCCAGAGAAAAGGAGGACAGTGTTGCAGCTCTTTCTGCTTCATTTGCAGCTGCCTTTGATCTCCACGTGCGGCTCGGCTCTGATGCCAGCTTCCACCAAGCACGTGCGCACATTTCCACACTTGCAATTATGTGCATTTGTGACCTACTTGTCCCCCTTTATTTTTATTAGCTCTTAAGACAACTGACCAATCAATGCCCACGGCTATAATGGAAGACTGTCTGATGCGCAATTAGATATGACATTCAGAACCATCGCCAAGAGCGTCAAACGGCAGAACACCTGGTTAGGGATCTGTGCGAGGCTGTGTGAGTAAATGCATGGGATTGACAGTAAATGAAACTCCAAAGTAAGGGAGGAAGGACGCAATCAACCGTGCTTTATACCCTCCTCAAGCTAATAGGAACTGCCAGTGGAACGAATAGGCTCAGGGATGGAGTTCATGCCATGGCAAGAGAAAGAAAGAGGAAAAGGAAGAACAAGAGAGAAGCAAGGGTAAGAAAGATGGGACAATAAAGAAAGGGGAATTGTAAGACAGATGAACAATGGAGCAGGCTGTGACAGGGAAAGAAGACAGACGGAGGGAGATACGGCAGCAGAGACAAAGAGCAGGAAGCCAGACTGACAAGTCCTCTCCCAGTGCAGCAAGCCAATGCTCACGCCGTCTAATCCTCAAAAAGAAATCAGAAAGCAGAATTAAATCAAGAACAGGGGGAACGCAGGAGGTCTCTCATCCAATTAGACAAACCATTCTCCGACGCTTTCCCCCCCACCCACCCCTCGTCTCTGTGTTTGATTAATACTACTAGGATTACAGCTGTAGCGAAGAAGCGGCGTGGGCGCAGACTGATTTGCGTAGGGGAGCAGGGACAGCAGTGTGTGTTTTGGAGCATGTGTATTCCTGTAAATATGCGTCACCCACTCGTTTCCACTCACATTTGTACTTCTCCTCCAAGTGCCCCTTGGAGAGAGACAGCAAGCCGATCTTCATGGAGAGAACGCGGATCTTCCCACTGCGGCCGCTGCAGACAGAGGATTCAACACAAGACCGTGAGGGCTTTGTTAGTTTTATTTTTAGAGCAAGCTTCTCCGTTTCAACAATGTTCAACGGATGGATTAGAAGGAGCAGGAAATCGTTAGGTGCTTGTTTGTGTGCATATTTGATTCTAATTCCTTTTTCTGTTTGCCCCCAAACGGCGTTTACACCGGGAACGATGCTGGCTTACAGCATGTGGACACACCTGTTTATACAGTGATGATTTGTTCATGCCAATTTGAATGTGAATGTCAGCTCTCAATAGATTTGTGCAACAGCTCGTTCGGCTGCCAAACCGATGCTCTTGGTTGTTTGTACGGCATATTGACAATACCGCAACATTCAGCATCGTGCAAAATCTAAGTGTGTTCTCCGAATACAAACATCTACTTGAGAAAGTATCTGTAATCCTAGAACTTTTTCCACATTTTGTCATGTTGTAACCTCAACATATTTCAGGATATTTTTTTTTTTTTTTTTTTACTATTGCAAAGTGGATAGAAACCAATAAATGGTTTAATAAGAGTTTGGTGTCCTTTCATTGCATTTACAGCTGCAAGTCTTAGGATGTCCCTTCCCTCTCTAAGACCATTTAGAGATGAAGTTTTCATCTATTTGTCATGTTTTACTTAGGAGTTGTTTGAATCACACAAGCTCAGTATAATAGAGGAAGCTTGACTGCAAGACTGATTACTTCAGCATAACCATGACAGAAATATCAGTCCTATCAATAAGTCGACAGCAAGTTGAAGGTCATGTAAACACAGGTTTATATTTCATTCTCTGTGCCAGATGCAACACTGATGATACCATCTCCAGATATCCTGTCACACACAGGCAGCCAGCTTTTTTTATATACGTTATGCCTGAAATGCTGTGACAGGTCACATAAAAAAAGTATACAAATAAATAAAAAGCAGGCTACTAGCATCGATTTGTTTATTACTACGGCCGGAAGATGAATTACGACACAAGAAGAAATGAACAGAAATCAGACAGCGGTACTGGCATTCGTGGCTGGGAAAAGATGAGAAAAATCTGATGTCTGCTGCAGCAGGAGTCACACTGCAAGGATTTCATAGAGAATTTTTGACACCAGTTTTTATTTTTTTTTTACAGGTTGTCTCTGGTCGAGTGTTGAATTGGCTGACAGTTTCTGTCACACTAAGCAACCTCAGACCACCAATAAAAGCTCACAACCAGAAACTTTCGTTCTAAAACAAAACATTTTGTCCTCGACGTCTAGTAATCACACAGATTTAATTCAGCTTTAGTGACGTCTCATGTCAGTTTTCTATATCCTGGGAGTCTGGCTGCAGCTGCCAGACAGCCCAAAATTTACATTTGGGTCTAATCTGACCAAACCACCTTTTTCCATCTTTAGTGCGTTACCCACATGGCTCGTAGCAAACTCCAAATGGAGTTTTTACATCTTTGTTTTAAGGCCGTTTTTTGTTTAGTCAATATTCTACAAAAGGGCAGATTTTTCGAGTGGTCAAGAAGTGGTTAAGCTGTCAACCTGTCAATGCAGTCGTGCCATACTTTCCAGATAATAGCTATCGAGATGCTAAAAGCTTGAAATATCGCTTTGTTACAAAATCCTGCTTTAAAATTCTCTCTATTGAGTTCTTCCATCTTCATGATGTTGTTTGTTCTCCAAGATCCTCTCACAAACTTTTAATCCTTCCCAAATTAGCTGCATTTTCCCTGCAAATTAAGCAATTCAATTCATACTTGATTTTATTTGAGGGTATTTAAGTAAAGGGGTCTGAAATAAATATACACTTTTGAGATTGTTCTATGTAAAAAAAAAAAAAGTTTAATCTCCTCCCACTTCTTAACTGCACTAGTTTATTAAATAAAATCTTGATAAAATTATTGTAGTTTGTAGTTGCAAGTGTAACAAACTCAGTTTTAAGGTGTTTAAATATTTTTACAAGACAAGTCAGCAGATTTCATGCGTACGTGTCATAAACGTTGAGCAGCCAGTTGAGGCACATGTCAACGCAGAGAGGCACGTTGACCAGGTCTTTGTGCTCCTGCTCCAGGCCGTCGTAGATGGACGTCAGGCAGTTGATGACATCTGGGACGGAGAGCAGGTGGCTGTTGTTGGTGAGTTTGTGTTGCTCAAAGGTGTTCTGGGCAACACTGAGATCCAGCAGGTCCACTGCAGAAGAGAAAAGATGAGAGTGAAGAGAGGTGGTGGTGGGGGGGTGGAGCAAAATGGATAAAGAACGGGGATCAGGAGAAGTAAGTGAAAGTCAAGGGGATGGGAGGGGAAGAAGGTTAACAATGACAAAGACAGGGGAGAGAGGAAGAATTGGAGAGAAAAAAGAACCAATAGTAACCTCTCTGACTTATTCACTGAGCTTTCGGCAGCGGCTCGGATTACAAGAATTACAACAAATCTAAACTGAAAAGAACAAGAAACTGGAAACGGCATCCACTATTTATAGACAAAAACACTACAAATTTCAAGGACGTTTCAGCTGAAGACGTGGAAAACGACAGGGAGCAGATAAATCAGAGCAATGTATTATTATGAAAGGAATCTAAAGCATAGACAAATGAGGCAGTTAATGTAGCAGTCAGCCTTTTAATTTAATTTGTTGGCTCCTTCGTCACAGACAAAAATAAGGCCATTATTGTTAAATCAATATCTCATAGTTCTATGATATTCTCCTCCTTAATTTATTCACTGAGAAAGGGCAAAGAGAACATCTAACAGGCAGAGCACTAAATCCAAATAGCTGCATGATCTCACACCTGCACCAAAAATTGCAACAAAATTTGAGTTGCCTGAAGAAATCTAATCAAAAATATACGATAATTATCTGCACCATAAATAAACGACAACAAAACCCTGTGAAAGTATTCACTGAAGAGCAAAGACTCAAACTTGGCTATTTTCAAGATCAGCAAATTGTTTAAAAATGAAGTCAGAACAACAAAAAAGATGTAAAGACGAATTTAAAAGACATTGCTTTTAGACATGCATGTTATTCATTCAGGCCGCGTCCTTTAAGAAAGGATAGGCACTTTTAGAGCAAAGTTGCTCTGTTTTGCCCTGAGCAACAACCTAGATTAGGAAACATTAGCAATCTGTCGGAAATTCTTGAGTTCAGATGGACGGCTGCACAGAAACTCTACTGTTAGTAGCGGGTCATTTCTGTTTCTAATAACTGAAGAAACTGCACTAAAGAGGGATAAATCAGAGGAACACTATTATTTTGGTCATTGTGTATTTCTTCCTTTGTTGCCAAGAAGTAAATGACTTAATCAATACCACACTTTAAGTTTATCCATCTGCTCCGCATCAAACAAGACCTGCCAGTCGGTCCGTTTCACAAAGACCGAAATGAAAGAACAGCTGGGCTCTCTCTGCCCATTAGGTTTCAAGTTTGTTAATTAACATGTTATATCTCATTTATCTTGGCGAGTCAGACAGCAAATTAGCAGAGTTACAAAAAAACTTTAGGTTCAAGTTGAGGGCAACCCTGTCTACTCGGGTTTCTGAGCAGTCCACTGATTTTACAAAATGCGGCTCACCTTAACGGATATGTCAATTTATTTCTAATAGATAGATGGGCATATTTTTCCAGATTGTGTAGGAATCTTGTCTACTAGAACATAAAGTTAACAGAAAGCCTTATTTTTCATCAGGCATGGACTCTTTTATTGCCATAATAACTGTCCAGTAACTGTTAAGCATCTGCAGGAGTATGAATAAGAAACACGACCTGCAGGGCTAATAATCTTCAGAGAAAACTCAAATTCTGATTGAGTTTTTATTGTTTGGCAACCAATAAAAACAAAGTCACTGTTTTGCACAAATTTTTTGAAACATTTTTACCCGAGTGCCTCATTGTTATAAGTATGTCATAAATGCGTTTCTCAATTTTTTCCCCAATTAACCATTTAGTCGCATTTGTTTAAAATACAAATGTTTGTCATTTTCTTTACATGACTCTAGCTTACAACCACGCAGTTGGTGGTCCTTCTGCAGGAAAGGCTTTTTTCGCTCCAACACACCACCTGTGTTAGCTCTAATCTAATGAACACCACAGAACCGCAGAAGCCTGCATCAAAATGAGTCAAACTGATTTATTCTTATTGCAAAACTATTAGATTAGAGAAGCAATCAAAGACGGCAAACAAAAACACCTGAATCATTAGAACTGATTAAAAAAAACAGCAACAAGCCACAGAAACAGTAAACCATGGTGCATTTGTGACATTTTTAGATCTTTTCTGCATTCACACTCACTCTCAAACATGCAACAAACAGCGGGATGTAAATGAGAAGGCCCCTCTAATAGTGCTCTATTGCGATAATAATGTCAACATCTGGATAATAGTCATCGTTTGTCACCATTATTACACTGTGCTGATTTCGAGTAGCAGCTGCCATGCTGGGTGAAACCTCAGAGGAGAAAATCTGCATGCAACGGCTGAGTGTGTGTGTTTATGTCTGCGTGTGTGTGTGTGTGTAGGTAGGTAGGTAGGTGTGAGAGCCACATGGGACTGTATGTAATAGCCGCCTTAATCAAAGCTTCCATTACAAAGCAGAAAATATGAGCTCTAACATTATGGAAAAAGAAGAAAAAAATCCACCTGTGCACCCTAAATGAGGCTGTATTCAACAAGCTTAACACCAGGAACAGCTGTGGCTGTGTCGACAAGATCCCCCACCCACAGACACGCGTATAAATATATAAATATATTCATGCAGCAAAAGGTAATTTAGAGCCAAGGCATGCCTGGCACCTATGCTGCACTGACACAGCGCCTGGCAAAGTTTCAAATCATTACCCTTCCCCAAAAGAGGAAAAGAAAAATTCAGAAAGAGCAGACTCTGGCTGTGGACATTAAGGTGAGGATGTGTGCGTCTTACTCACAGCAAAGAGCCTTTTGCAGTCTGCGAATCTTCATGGCTGTCCGGTACGCTGAGAATCTCACATTATTCAAGTCCGCTGCAGGCAGAGGGGAAAAGACAGGAAGATGAAAGGTGAATCGACAATGGGGGGGAAATAAAACCAACGTGGGGAGATCAGAAAAAACACAGAGCAACACAAAGCTGTCTGCAGGGCATCACAAGCAGGACCCATGTCTTCACTCAAATCTGACTCGTCTGCAGAAGGAACCTAGACCAAAACGTCGCTAATGTACGATGTGTGTAATTAGGCCGGTCAGTTTCCATCCCCAAGGATGGACGAAGCTATTTGTTGAGCTGCTGCCCTACAGAAAATGCTCCCAAAGTTTCCGAGGTTATTACCAATCAGGCTGCTCATTAATGGACAGTTGTATTGGCCCTCCCACAGGGACTCAGACATCCATTAGTATATTGACAGTGAGTGCAAAGGAGGCATGCTATTAGCAACTGTCTAAAGTTAAATGTGAAACCCAGATGCTTGCCAAGTTAAACGCGATGTTTACACACCTCTGGGGCAAATTCCTAATTTATGAACCAAGTTAAAAGCAATTAAATCCCCTACAGTACTTGTTTCCTTAAATCTTGAAGTATATACATTTTACCAAGTAAAAAGCAGAGTTACTTTCTTGAAGGAGATATTCCTCCTCGTTAACACTCCTTAATGATGCTGAGAGCCTTTTGGTTTGCAGTTCAGGTGTTTCTAAGCACTCTTTGTAACCCACTCCAGTTTTGAAGATATTTTTGTCTGCAATGTGAGCAAATAGTCAAAACCAGGACTAGTCTTACGTATTATGCGAAACCCAATCTGAGAAGGTTGGATTTCTTTCAGTAGTTCGCTGTGTATTTTCTGTTTTTGGTATCCTTCTTTAAAACCTAAAGTCCTGTTGATTTCTTTCTATGTTTTTCTTACAAATGAAATGCATTTATAGCCATCAACAAAAAGTTCAGCTTTAACTCAACTTTATGTTTGCTTACTTTTCATTTTTTTCGTAAAGAGGTTGAACTTTAAGGTCCTAGTTCATTATTTGCATGAGTACATTATGCTTAAAGATGTGCAAATATGAACTCCTACTCTTGCATTGCAGCAGGAATTAGGGCGAAAAACCCAAGACAGTTTTGGTGTGGAAACAAATCATCTGTCACTCTTATTAAGGTAAGACTGTTCTGAAGCTACATGCATTAGGCAGGAACATATATGGCCACTTATGCAGACAGCTGGAATAATTTCCCAGCATGACATGAAATTTACAATACACACATATACAGATCATCTGCATTTTATCAGCATCACTGGCTACAAAGTCCTTAAACATACTAGTTTGACAAAAAAAAAACAATAAATAATTCTATCTATCCTACTTTTGTGACAAAGTGCTGTCTTTCACAAACAGCAATCATAACTTTAATAAGTTACTGCATTTGAAAGGTTGATGAGAGAGAAAAAACAAAGCGTGCATTTTTCACACAATTTAGAATTTTTTTTAGAGATATTGAGGTAAGTCATGAACAAGGAACAAAATAAATCTATTACATCCTTTGTCTGTTATTTATTTTAAAAGAATATTAACTTTGCAGTTCAGTGTTGCTTCATTTGAAAGCACAGCTTGAGAGTTAGGTCGGTTTTGTTTCTCCAGACAAATTTAATTTAGGAAGTAAAATGGTTAAAGTGGCTTTATACGCCATAAAGCCTGCAGGTGCCGATCTAGACAAGTAAAGCACAGCTAAATGCCACTTAGAAGTAAAACATATACATTGCACTTGAGATTAAGGGCTTTGCAATAAATCTGCTTTACAGTTTAGTTTCAGGTTTTCTGGCCCCAAACGATTTATTTTAAGAAAAAATGAAAGTAAATTGTATTGTATTTCAGCTATGAGAGTTTATATGTTACGTACAAAAATACAATTACAAAATTGAACATGTCATTATGTTAAATAATCATTGCAATTTATTTTCATTAATTAAACTCTCCTTAACCTCGCAGGATTCTGATAAACACCTGAAGTCGCATGAATCCCTTACGCATGTGTGTTTTGTACCTAGAGATTGGTAGAGCTCCGTCATCTTTGGATGATCCCAGCAGGTCGTCTGTGTTTGGTGACTGAAAAATACGACACCAAGAGAAAACGTTTAGACTGAAGAACAAAAACGTCACAAACACATTGTAAAAAAATAAAAAATAAAACTGCACAGATGAACAGAAATACTTCTGGGATACCAGCTGATAAAAAACCAGGCAAAACCGAAAAGCAGCACCAATAAATTGCCTAGAACTAACCAACATTTAGCTGGATTGACTCAAAATGGTCAACACAGTCTTCTGGCAACTTTTCGGAAAATCCAGAATTAAGGTAGGGATTATAGGTGAAGAAAAGAAAAGATGAATTTGCCATATTATTGCTAAAAAGTGTTATTGATATTGATTAGTCCACATTTTCGTGACAGTTTTCCTTCTTTTAATATTCAGAGTGTTAACAACCACGGTATTGTTTAGCATCTCCGTCACTGAAACAAAGTACAGCTGTGGGTATTAAATAGTTCAAGTCCACGTGCATATACATGTATATATGTACTCTACATGCATAGAAACTGCTGTGCTAACAAAGCTAATTGACCTTGTTCTCAGTGTAAATATTTTATGTACAATCAGGGTCAGGACGACTACAAAATAGTTCAAATGCTTGGATCTTCTACTAAAAGTAGATGAAATTAGGGTAAAATCAAAGTTGGCAAATCAAAGCTTCGATGAAAGAATCCTTACATAAACTAATGGGAATATGGCCTTTCAACACACACTGTGCATCATAATTTAGTTTTTTTTTCCCACACTGGTGACAGTTTTATTGTAAACTTTCTTTCTATAGTCTCTAAATCGGGGCCAGGGACTAGAGAGCTGTTCCCGAATCCGATATAGAAAACATAAAGTACTGAACAACACAACAACACACAAACACTCCCAAATCACACAGAGTGAATCACTCTCATCACCACAGGGCGTCTTTTTAAAACACCACAGGACACAGAAATAAGGAGAACAAGTCCCGAGTCCCTATTCACTTCTCCACTTCAGTCCCAAACAAACAAAAAGAAAGGGGGAAAAAAAAGCACAAGAAGATCAACACTGCATAAATAAATAAAATAAGATGCATGTCAAAGTCGATCAAACTCCACTGCCTTGACATGCAGAGGACCGCAAAGGAAAAAAAAAAATAAATAAATAAAAATAAAAATCAGACTCAAGCTGCAAATGCAAGTGATGTGCATCTATTTGAGGTGTGCAGGATGTGATGTAAATCTCCTGTGTTTGTGTGTGCACACCTATTTTTATTTATTTATTTTTTTAAGAAAGCACCCGACTGTCGGGAGACGCGCTCAGATCCATGCAGAACGCTTGGAGAAGTTTTCCACAAGACAGTTTTTGAAACGCAGAAGATTCCCTGTGGATTCTGCAATGGCTCGCTCTGTGCTGACTGTCAGCAGGAAGTAAAGTCGAACCGCTGCAGCGGATGGCATAATCTCTCCAAGCACACAGATGTCCATCACTATACAGCAGCTGTGCAGACTGATAACCTTTTTCACAAATGAGCAGCCATCGCTAATGCGCGACTCGCCCCTCGCTGTTGGCTAACGGAGAGTTTGCCTAAGCTGTCAATGGGCCTAAATGAATGCGGCGAAGGAGATTTGTTACCGTTCGCTCCACACAAACGCAAGAACTGTGGGAAAGATTACCCGCTATTCACACAAGAACCGGTCCAAAGTTATTTTTAGAAAACATTTAACAGTCGCAAACAATTTCCTCAAACAAACAAAAACATCCAACGACCATTTACACAGCTCGTAAAAGCCATAATGAGAGCAAACAAATTGCGAACCGTTTTATTGAAACACCTGCCCCTTTCTGCAGTGCCGACTGTCAAATTATGTTTGTAGTTTTGACTGGGAAAAAAAAAAAAAAGCTATCTCACAAAGCTGCTTAATTTAGGATCACAGGACCCAAACGTATTTAAAAGAGGAAACTTAAAGAGCAGTGAGCAAAATCGGATATTATGGTCTGGAAGCCTTTTAAACATAAAAATTTAAATGATGTGTAACATTTAAATGGTCAGAATCAAATTTCCATCAACAGGAGTTGTGTTCATGTTGATCTTAAACTACAGTTGAAGGCATTTAACTTATTAGCCTTAATATATCAGAAATGCACCATGAAATCAGCTGCTGACAGAAATCTGATGATTTGTAACTTGACCTGCCATGACAGCTGATTGGCTGTTCAGAAACTCAAAAGGCAGACCCTACTGTACAGGTAAATGGTATTAAAGGTCAAAGTTGGCCATTTTTACCATCTGCAATATGGAACAGAAACATCTGCCAACGCAGAGCAATTTATTAATGTTCCCAAATCATCAGAAGGGCAAACTGACCCAGAGCTGACTGACAGGAAAGTTTAACAAGGTGGCTCCGTTTTCACTTTCAACCTCTGTTTGCTACAAAACATTATAAATTTGAAGCCTTTCAAAATCTTATCTATAGATTCAAACACTGACTAATAATATGAAGTAGCTAATGCCTCTTAAAATTATTAAAACTGCAATTATTTTGTCTTTGCATCTGACTTAATCTTAAAGAAATTGGTATTGTATTTCCATTTAACAGAATTAACTTAAATTGGATCTTTTATCACTTTTTAATAGCCATATAAAACAAACTATGGTATATTAGCACCAACTAGCTGATTCTTAGAAAGCCGATAGCTCAAACTTTAGCATGACAGTAGATGACCAAAGGATGATCTCTAAAGTTTTGTGTTGTAGATATTTTTAGCAGCAACACTTTTTCTCTTTCTGTTTAAATTTTTTTAGTTTTTAAAGCACATGCTGTTCAATCTAAACTGGCAATAAGTGAAAAAGCAACCAAATACCATGAAACTGCTTCAGAAAGCATGAAGAACTAAAGATCACTTTGAGATTTCAGAAGAGAACTCCTCGAAAGCAAAGTTTAAATAACTTTTCTTCAAGGACTGTAGTTTAAAACTTACTGTAAATGTGGCTTTTTATGTAGTAAGATCTAATAAACATCTTCAACTAGTTATTAACGGGACATATTAAAGCGCTCTCTGTCACCAACACCAATACCAAAAATTTAGTGAAACACTTTGGTCAGATTATCGCCACTTCTGAAGTACAAATCCAGAGACTTGAGGCATTAAGGTGCATCAAAGTTGCTTCATGTAGCGACTCTGTGACAATTTAAAAAGCCTCTTCTTTCTTCTTTTACATAAAATTTCAAGCACACTCACACCAACTTTGAAGAAGACATTTCTTCCCAGGCAGTTTGGCATCTTCCCTTTTTTGAGCCACACCAGAGAGGACACACAACTCCGAAACCAGTTGGCCTGAAGTTAAAAAAAACAATCCTGACAGCTTCACCGGATTGAAACATCTGTGATCACAGGCTTTTGTTAACTTGAAAGTGATAAATCTGTCTTCTAAATTGCAATATATCCAAAGCTTTTAGCTCTAATCCCCGTCTAGTGGCAAGCCGCAGACACAAATGCAGCACACGTGTCTGTCCTCCACTCTTACCTGGCTGAAGTCTATTTTCTTCATGCCTGTGACTTCATTCTCTTTTTGGGAATGTGTTACCTTAATTTCCTGCTGTTTCTGTTTTTATTGCTTTGGGAAAACAAGCTGGGCAGGATGACGCATTCGTATCCACCAGACTGCAGGGTGGGGAAGAAATAACCTTTAACTCTAGGATTTTATAAGGTTTCTGTCTGGCCGGACGGGGAAAGCAGTAGAAGCAATTTGACAAAAGTGACCCTCTCAGACTAACAGATCGCCTGCTGTGACAATTCAGCTTATTAAGAATAATTGCTTTTTCCCTTTGACATTTTATGTGCGACTTCCCCATCCCTCGCTGCAGTTTCATTAAAGGTTAAAGTGATTCTCATTACTAATTTCATCCCTGCTGTTCCATAACTAACAATATACGTCCCGCTACTCCAGTTTTGCACTCGCGCATTTCCCTCTGGGAAAGAGGGAATGTAAACGAAAGAAAGCCTTCCAGGAAAGCATCCGCATTCTTTGTGCCTTCAGAGATCAAAGCACCAATCTGAAACAGTGGCAGAACAGTAACTTGGCTGGTGGGAGTTTTGTCATTGTCACACGCTCAGAGAGGGGACATGAATAATCATGAGTGGGCAGATGAATGACTCCACACGTGTCTGGAAATCCAAAGAAATGAAATTAGTGAAGGATTGGAGTGAGCCAAGGGAAGATTTCGGGACTATTCTTTTTCCTTCAGTGACGGCTCCTCCCAGGGCTTATCAGAAGGACTCAGTGACAGGTGATAAGTGCCTTCATTCTCCACCTGATGTCTTGTGCCTTTTCTCTAGCCGACATCTCTTCACCCCTGCTCCTTTTTTGTACTTCTTTCTTTGCTCCTGTATCACAGCTTCATTTTGCCACAGAACTTAGAGCTCTGACAGAGTAATTTTCCGATTAAAAGTTCAGCTAACCACACTAAAGGAATGTGTGAGATGGCATTGCACTCAAGTTATTCAGAGAGTAACATCTGATTTCATCTCATCATTTGAACTCTACACCACAGGGAGGCAAAAATAAGGGTAATTTTAATCAGGGGGGCCTTTGTCGCGCAGAAGAAAAGGTGCACATCGGGAAAGAGGATAGGAGGAGGAGTGTGGGGGGGAAATGAATGTGTCAAACAGTGATGTGAGCATCCTGAGAATGCCTCAGCACTGAAAGCGGCCTGTGATTAGTCCTGGGGATGGATTCAGAGTTCAGCGCAGGCAGCTAATTAAGTGGGTTTTCAAAACCGAGTGCTGGCTTTCATGTTCTGCGCGTGAAGGAGAAGGAAATTACACCGAAAGCTATCTACATGTTTGTTGCAATAGGAGAAATTGGGTTTCCGAGTGCCTTTTGAACTCTCCCACATTTTGTCCCACTACAACTATAAACCTCAAAGTATTTTGACTTTATCGGATGGGCCAACACAAAGCAGTGCGTAATTAGGAAACAAAGAAGCACGGGGTTTTCAAGACGCTTCATGAATAAAAATCTGTAAAGTCTCTTGTGCTTTTATGTTCAGACCTCCTGCGTAGAACCACCCTTTGCTGCAGCTACAGCTGCAAGCATTTTAGGGTCTGTCTCAGCCAGCTTTGAACATCCACAGACTGAAACTTCTGTCCAATCTTCTTATCCAAAGAGTTCAAGTTCCCTCGGATCAGAATGAAATGACAATGCTTTGATCTCAGCTATTCTAGTGTGACTGGCTGCATGGATAAGGTCATTGTTCTACTGTAAGGTGAATCTCAACCACTGTTTGAAGTCATCTGCAGTCTCCAAGATGTTTTCTTACAAGATTGACTTGTATTTAGGTCCAAATACGTCTCATTATCTCTGACCAGCTTCCCCACTGCAAGATGTTTCCACCAACATTTTACACTGTGACGACAGTATGTTTTCCACATTACAGAAGAGTTTTCATGTAGGCCAATAAAGTCACAAAATCACATTCTTCCCCTGTATAAATTGTGGGAAAACTAAAAGAACTCGTGCTAAGAAAACGACTGACTTCTTGTCTAGACCAGAAACCTATGGCCTCTAAGGCCAAGGTCATTGAGGCTGTGCATCTGCATGGACTCAGCATCTTGAGGGACCAGAAACTATCATTTTTGAAAAAAGGGGTTCCAGGGTGGACACATTTTAAAATGCTAGTTTTCTGTTTTTGTGTGACCATGCAAGTTGTGTGTGTGTTTTTTGTTGTTGTTTTTTTTTAAACAATGACTTAGTTTAATCTGCCTCCTTCGCGCATGCACTTCACTCTCACAAATAAACGTGGCACTGTTTGGTTACAATGTTACAGCCTGGCATAAATATTACACCATTTTCTGTGGCGCTGCAACTTGTCGCGTGGACACATTTTTTCTTAATCATTTCCAAAAAATATACCATGATTGTCTCTGTGTGCACAGGGCCTATTACTCTCTGAGACCCTAATAAAAAGTTGCATTTATACTGAGGCCGTTTACTAATTAGGCAACTTCTGTATGCACTTAATTGTTTAAGGGTATCAGAAAAAACGACAACTGGCTTCTTCCTAGAATGCTATTTTTAAAAATGTAGAAAACCGTGTGTCATTTCATGCATGGCTTTTGGGATGTGAATACTAGCGGGGCGCACTGAAAGGTGCCGTGCTCCTGTCTCACTGTGGGTGTCTGTTTACTGACTTGAAGCCTTACTACAGCTGGAGTTCATCTGCATCTTCATGTTTATCTAACCAAGCATGAGCGTTTGCATCACTGCTCCATGCGCATTTGTATGCAAGGTTTTGTTTTGCTTGAACTGCGTTGCACACACGTGTTTTGTTTGTGCACACGTGTTCTGTCAGTGTGACAGATGTAGGTTCACTGGCTGGGCGCATCTGTGATCACAGGCAGTTTTTTTTTTGTTTTTGTTTTTTTTTCTCTCGGTTTTGTGTTTTGTTCCAAACGTATAAACTGGTCCTGCGAGCCCTGTCGGGCTTTAATCTCTCATCGCCTCCAGCGTCAAGCTGCTGCAGACACAAACACAAGCAGGTGTCAGCCAATTTTTAGGACTCTATCCTGTTTTTAAGTTTCTGAATGGGGGAAAAACATTTTCTGATCTACAAAGAATCTAGCAATGTGTCATTTCAAGACTGTAATAGGCCTTGGAATTTAGCAAATAAAAGTATCCATCTTATAAAAAATGTTTGCGTCACTCCAGCATCTTCTGATTGCTGAAGCTTTTCTGAAAGGTAGCACGGCATGTAAGCTGTGGTTAAAAGCAGATATCTAAAACTTTGATGTGAAGTTTTCTCTTCGAGTCAGCCAAAAATCATGTAGAGTTCAGATTCAGTTGTAAAGTAGTTCACTGGCACAGGTCCTATCCCCAGATAATGAAACTTCAACATCTATAAGCCCGACATTTGCAGAGAAGCAGAAAGAGCTGCAACTGTGAGAGAGCATCTGTATCCATCTGAGCAGAAATGCAAGTTTTGTTCAGGATGGCAAAGATTGTGATGGGGAGCAAAATATCAAAGTCATTGTTACACTTACACTTAAAAAAGCTGTTGTAAAATACAATTATTATGAAGGAGGCATATATTTTTTAAAGTGAATCAGGAATGTTAAGGTGAAACATCTGAACTTTAACATATCCAGGAGCATATTCCTGAATAAAAAGTCCCTAACTACAAGAAAAATAAAATATGTGCATGCGTCATGCTAAGAACATGGTTGCCCCATCAAAACATCCTACTTTCTTTGTCTTTTCCAGGTAGGAAAAGGAGCCATTTTTTACACGACACTTTGTACCAAACGTGCTTCAATGTGTGGCTGGATTGTTTTTTGTTTTTCTTTGGACCTATTTTGACACCTGATAACATCAGGGAATCTTTTATACTCTCCTCATTGACCGTTCTGTGGAAGTGTGGATTTGAGCATCCAAGTCACGGTTTTATCAGGGCCCATATATTGTAGCAAACTGGTTTGAAAGCCTATCAGAGCCGCGATCATCAGGGATGAAACGAGCACAATCAGAGTTCAAAATGACAGTTTTCAGTGGCATTCTTAAATTATTACTTATTAATGTGAGAGCTTAGCGAATACTATGATTGTTGTGGTAAAAAAGCAAGAAAGTTTTACTCCTGTATCAATCTCCAAATAAGTGTCCATCTTACGTACATAACAGTCAAAAATCTTCAAGACAATATAAGACAGTTGTTGATGCTAATTGCCAACATAAACTGCCAAACGTCATAACTTTAACTTTGCTTGAAAAATAGCACAACGCGACATTATCTTATCTCTGAAATAAAACTGAATAGCAACAAATTTCTGCATCTCTAGAAAATGCCCAAGCTGATGAGTAATGAGAGTTACCACTTCATATTTTACTGGGACATGGATGCATTTTAAACATGCACTGAATTAATTTTTTCATACATACTTTATGTAGTAGGGAACCTTGTTCTGAGAGACTGCACGTTGCCAGGGGAGCTGTACAGATGCTGCAAAGAAAAGAAAAATTAAAAAAAGACAAGGAGATTAAATTCAAGAAGCAGCTCAAATTAAAAAACCATCCTAGTAAACACCGCGTACTCTATAGTAATCATTTCAGTGTTGAAGCCTGACTTCAAATAAGCTCCACATTATCATAATGATGCAGAAACACATTTTAATATCTGTTGAGGTGCTAAATCCGGTTAAACAGTGGCGCTTGAGAAGTTCTCCTCTGGAGCAATAAGCAGGAGAAATTTGGTGTGATTTATCGCCATACCACTTTCCCTCCTCCGCGACACAGCTTCACTCTCAGATAGAGAGATGAAAAGACAGTAAGAGAAAGAGATTAAGCAAGATTGGGAGATATACGAGATGAATAGAGCACGATAAGCACGCGGTACTTTATTGATCCCCGAGGGAATATTAAGCTGCTAGTGTAATGAGAGCGAATGTGTGATGGAGGAGATAGTGTCACAGTGTCACGAAGATGAAAGACGGCTGGTATTTTGTCTGGTCTACTTTGCTGAGCTCTCAGCAGCACTTGCTCAGTAAATTTGTGTCTGGCGGTGACGCAGCGGGGTGACTGAACACCTGCTCTGGATCACACGCGGAGCATTTAGTCTCCGTGCCTGACAGCCAGTAAAGAGTATCAGGTGGAACTCGAAGAACTCTGATGGATGGATGATTATGAAAAATGAAGAAACAAAGGAGAGAGGGGAGGAAGAGAGAGGCTGCTTTGTTTAATATTTCCACATCTGTCTTTCCGCTGTGGAGGTTTGTGTCCAACTTTCTGCACAGAGCTAATGGCCACTTGAAAGAAGGAGTAAAAGGAGGGAGTCAGTAAAGATGTCATTAAGCATTGCATTATTAAAAAGTAAAGTGTTAGATCTGCAGACTGTGAGGGAGAGTATCAGAGGCCATCTAGTAAATCTGGAAAAAGAAAAACAAATTGACCTTTTCATTGCACACTGCTTTGATTTCAAGAATATTTATTTAAAGGGTAAAAAAAAAATCACTTGAGGATTTTATTTTATTTTATACTAGACTCGCAATTACAAAATGTTCTGTTCAAACTTCTACTGTTGCTAAGTACTTTAACATGGCCCACAGCATCACAGGAGCAATGCCGTACTAAACAATAATCACAAATGCCTTCTTCTACATGTTTATTTTTTGTTTAATAATTAAGACAATTGTGAATATTTTCACTGATAACTGATGTCTAATTTGTTTGGTTACTTACTGATATTCCATTTGGGAAAAAAAACAAAAAAAACTGAAGGTCCATCTTTTTCTTTAACTACAATGACAACCACTAGATTCAACACCTTAATGCATATAAATACTTTCTGTTAGAAACTGCTATACAAGGTAAATTTTTCCAAGAAGACAAATCAGTAGAGTTCAAGTGCATCTGACCAAAGCACAGAGTCCTTTAAAAGTCTCAGTGCAGCTGAGGAAATTCTACATCTGTACGCTTGTACTGGTGGAGAGAAAATATGAGAGAAAATGTGCTTCTTGCATAACAAGCTGCCATGAAGGTAGAAATAAATGGTTGTTATGGAGAAAACACATGTGGCGTACTGGTATGTTAACTTATTTTTTTTTTACTTTCTGTAGTTTATAAGAGAAACTTAATTTAAACTTCCTACCCACACCAACCTAAACACTCAAGTTAATCAGTCGCAAAAAAAAATATTTCTTGTTTTTTACAAGCAGTGGCATTGATGGTTTTGTAAAAAGCATAAAATAAAGATAATTGCAGAAGGAAGTCTGTAAAGATGAGATAGCCCAAGGCACCCAGTGTTTATTACTGCCTTTAAAGTGTAGTTTTACTCACTGGAGAGGAAATGCTGAGAGGAGGGGCCAAAGTCCCTGTGCGCTTCCTGAAGGAGTTTCAGTCTGTCCTCCACCGCTACCTTTAAAAGGATGAAACATAAAGGAATAGACAGTGAGCTGGAAACCATAAAAACACAACTTTACAGTTAACTGGACTTTATGCCATTGTTTGGAGAGCAGTATATATAATTATAAAGCAATTAAAGAAGAAAGGGATTTTCTCAAAACAATGTTTCTCTAACAGAAGTACAAAAAGTACTTATTGTACAATTTTTAAATAATTCAGGAATTTTAAAATACACCATCCATTTTTTATCATTAAAAAAAAAACTATTCCAAATTGCTCACCGAGAAACAAGAATAAGCAACACACTGGTGATTCACAAGCTCTCGTCTCTTACCAAAAAAGAATCTTACTTTTTGTTCCAGCTCAGTCTGCAAGTTTGCAGAAACTACTGAGCAATCAAAAGACCATAAAATAAAGTTTTCCTGCTGTCTTTCAGGGGGAAAAAATCCCAGATATGTAGGTCCTTGTGAAGGCTGTCAGGCATCAATCAGTCGAGACAGTGCATCTTCGCCAAACCTGCAATTCTTTCGGGGCTGCTTCAAATTGACAATGGCATGGCCAGCTACGCATGATGAGAGCTTGTCAAGATCAACAATCTTTGACCAGCTGCAAAGCAGAGCTCTGCCAGGGCCGCAAACTACCCCGATCATTATGTGAAGGCAGGACAGGCACAGCATGAATGATCAAAGTGCAAAACCTCCAGACAGTCGCAACACAAATGAAGAAATAAATAATAAAAACAGATCATTACTCTGAGACATTTTTACTCGTTTTCATTGATTTTCAGAAAATCAGTCAAAAATATTTTTTAAAGTTAAAGGTTTTATCTGATTGTTACTTGCCTCCCAGAGCTAATCTAATGGGGGTATTTCAAAGTTTTTATTCATTCTGGACATTTAATTATTTTCAGATTTAAACTTCTTGGACTCAATGTGTTGGTTGAGTCAAACTTTAATGAATTGCTAAATGCTGAACAGAGACTTTTATTTTTATTTTTCAAACAGTTTGAGAAACATTAAATCTTTATTTTATTTGTGAAAACATAAATCATATTTAGTGCTTCCCCCCCATCCCCTGGCCAAATTAGATTGAGTCATAAAAAAAACACTTCAGATAGACTGGTCAAAAAGAGACTGAACACTTATAACAGACAAATGGCAATTTATTACCGTAATTGTTTTATGAAAACCATAAAAACTCTTCTCGTCTCATTCCAGGATTCTTCTAACAAAATATATATATATATATATATATATATATATATATATATATATTTTTTTTTTTTTTTTTTTTTAATTATTTTTTTTATTCTTTTTATTGCACATTTTATGTCCCCTACATCAGTTTGATACTAGAAGAAGGAAAAAATAAGTGATATCTCCATCTCCCTTCTAAAATAAGGGAAACTATTACTGAGTTAGAAATATGCAAGGCTTGAAGAGACTATATATGGATAAAAGCCAATTGTGCACAGAGTTTATTAAACTGGGAAGGACATCATGATGTTAGAGAACAATGAATATTTGTGGTTGGCCTTGTGAGCCCCTTCAGTATTAGCAATCTTCAGAAACCTCAATCAAGCTACTGCAAACCATAAGGACCCTCCAGAACCATTCAATCCAATTAGAAATGCTACCTCAAAAGAAAGGTTTTGGACAAAAGGAGTTTTTAAAGGTTATGCTTACCAAGAAACAGTAAACACAAACATTCAACTCCTACAACTAACCAACAAAAAAAAAAATCGCTGATCCATTTTTTACTCGTGTCGCAAAATCGCCTCAAACTGCCTTTGGTCTTAACACAGTCGAGTTTGTCAATTCATTTTGTAGACGTATATTGCTGCCATCTAATTCCCAAAATGCAAACATCATCCAGTTGTGATTTTGTTTTACAGCGTTGCATAGAAATTAGCCTAAAGTGATGACGGACAAGAAAGGACAGTACAGAAATTCATGCTGTGACTCGATTTGTGAGCCCTTTCTCAACTGATTTATTTCGGCTTAAATTAACATCAGCTTCACATTTGATGCACAAATATTGTTTAGCATAAATCCAGGAGAAAAGGGGTCAGGCGCAATACCAATTATGGTGGCCACACAACACAAAGATGTCAAAAATCTGAACATGAAGATTATTATTCAAGATACTAAATAAAAGTTTGTAAATGCTACAGTCAATTACAACTTCAAAACAAAATGTTTCTGTAAGAAGAACAGTCAACCTTCATATCGAGGGAATAAAATGTGAAGCTTCATGCTCAATCACATGCGTCAAACAGAAAAAAACTCCTTTAAGAGCCTTGTATTGACATCTCAGTCGGCGCACCTGAGGTCCGCTGTACATGGCGGTCTGTTTGCTTTGCCTCATTTCTGTGAGTGGCAGCACAGTGAGCCTTGCACATCTGCACAGATATGATGACAGCCAGCTCACAGATGTCCACACTGTGATCCTGGTAATGGGCACAAAAATGGCCGGTAGTCATGCCTCTTGTTTTTTTTTTGTTTGTTTTTTTTTCAGCTGCTAATGAGTTTTTGCTTACTGTACCACAGAGAGACAGATGGTGCCAGTCTGCATATGAAACCAAATCATCAGGCCGCGCAGTCGGACCGGGCTTATTAGTGAAGCCGCTGCCTTCCTGCAGGCTGAAACAAAATAAGACCAAAAAGGGCCAGTCCAATAAAAAACGCTGTCATTGTCCGCCTCAGTGTGTGACTTATGATCACTTTAATGGCAAAAAAAAAAAAAAAAGACAATTAATGGGAGCCTTTGCAGTGCGTGGAAATATCACATCACTACTATTTAGTCCAGCTTGACAGTTTTCCCCCTGAGGCAGAGTCACACTTAAACAGAATAACCTGAACAGCTTTTTCCCAACCCCAAGATGGCTTTTTCACCGAGCTCTTGCTGCATCTTTGATACATTTATTCGGCCACATCTTTGACTAATTTATCTAATCCGAGCCTGCTGAGGGGCAACACTGTCTTTGAAATCAGTTTCTGTAAAAATAGAGTCATAATTGGACACCAAAGGAATCACCACAACATTTAAACCTATGTTCTGAGGGGTCCTTCCCAATGTAAGCCCCCATTTACTAAAACTTCTGCAAGAATGTCTTACATTGCTCATAAAACAAAAAAAAAAAAAAAAACTACAGTATTTCAATCTCTAATTCCCAACAAACCCCTTTCCCTTCTTGCATGATGACTAGTAGCGAAATGGATTTCCCTTCAGGGCTAGACACGTTCCAGTCTGAGAAAGCTCAGCAGGCACCGCAGCGGATCAGACCAACACTATCAAGCTTGCAGAGAACCAGAGATGTGACTGGTGTGCTGCGAGAACAACATCCACTGATGTGCAGAGACAAAAGCGCTGCACAAACGACACAACGTCAAATTGTTGCAAAGCATGAAATAGAGAAAAAGATAACACAGGCAGACAGCAGGAGACACTCAAATGCGTTGCAGAGGGAAAAACCGAAGACACAATTATAAAAGAAATGCAAAAATAAAAAACAACATAAGTATTTAAAATACCTGCAGACTCTTCCATCTCATGTTGAGTTGATCCAGTTGTCTGGAGGCAGTAGAAGACAGCTGGATGTCCAGCGGTGTGAGCTCAGCAGCAAGCTCGTTGACTACCCGGACATCCTGACGGAGGGGGGTGATCTCCTCCCTGAAGGCCTGCAGGCAGAGCGATGTACCATAATTATTGTTTAATCTCGCCACAGTGGTCGTCAACCTCACATTTATGTCTGTGAGCGTTCTGGAAAAGACTAAACAGCCCCTCGGTTACCATGAAAATGAACATAATGAAAGGAAAACAAAACCCTGAAACCTCTGAGGTGTACAGAGAAAATGTGAATCTGACTAAAATTGACTTTTTCCTTGCCATGCTCGCTGCTGTCATTTTTCTTCTTGTTAAGAAATTGTCTTCAGTCTCTGAGAAGAGACATCATTGAATTGATGAATGCTGCAAAGTAATGACTGAATCAGCAAACCGAAGGCAAAAGCAAACAGAGGGGAACTTTGTTGTTTAGACAGAAAAAGGAACGCAGCCTGTAAAAATTCAGATAAAACTGCACCACCCTTCACACTGACCGACTCCACTTATAAAGATATGTAAAAATCCTGAAAACAGATTTATTTTCTATTGTGGTAGCAAAATCTCCTTGGAAAAAAAAATGGAAACATCCAACCTTTGATCTGGTAGTGGGGTACTAATACTGCTACAATTACCTTAATTTGCCTTTAGCACCTCACTTAATCTCTTAGTCTCTTTCTTGCTCTTCTCTTCAACTCAGCCTGCAGGTTTTTAATCCATTCTGTTCCAAGATTTTGTGGTGTACAACATTGTGTGCTTTCTGTTGGTAGCTTCCAGTCTGGCATTTGTTTTTACATGTAAACAAACCTCTTGCACAGTTAAATATGGATAAACCTATCTTTAACATCCTCTTTTTTATGTTTAACACAGAATAATCTTTGATGTTGGCTGTAGACAAGGCACTTAGGATTGAAGTGAATGACAGAGATGTTTTTTGTAAAAATTAGCTGTTTAAGCACAAGCAAACATTGTATATAACGATCTGTGAGCAACGTAGTTGTTTCACTCCCTCATGTGTTTGGCTGGTGGCAAAGAGCAGAGGGCAGCCTTGTTTAATGATCGGGTAATGAGATCCAACAGCGCCGGATAACAGGAGTTAACGTATGTTAAACACTCCCTTTGAGAGTAAACTTCACAGATAATTATTACAAAAAAAACCCACAAGATTCAAAACATAAAGCCACCTCGTTTCATTTGGTGAGGAAGCAAAAAAAGCTGAACATGTATCAGTGTTGCTACGACAACCTGCTGTTCTGTTTTTAGTTTATTGATTAAAAACAACTAAATATGCACCATTCAAATTGGGGGTTGAAGCATTTTTATGTAGAAGATTTTTAAAAATTTCCTCTAAAATTCAGTGATTGTAAAGAGGTAAACAGAGAACGTTTTCTCTCCCAGCCTTCCAGTTATATTTTTGTTGCCTAGAATATTGTGAATAAAAGCTACTGGCTCTAAAAATATTCCCCCAAAAGGTCCTTGATGTCTTGTACTCTTAGAGGTTTCCCTGGGTAATTGGAAGAGAAACTAGCCTATAACGTTGCAGATCTTATAAAACAGAAGGCATGGATTATGAGTTAAAAACATCTGGATGGTTTGATTAACTCAAAAAAAGAAAAGTAAAAACAAGAACAAAAGATTGTGGTACATTGCCAGAGGTAGTCAAATTGTTTCACTAATGTCTCTTAGTGTGAAATATCCTATTTTAAAGAGAATACTTTTTTTTATGGTTTTTTCACATCTTTACCAAGTGGCAATAACAGTGAAACTACATGATTCACAGAGAGGCGGATTCTTGCAGTATTTCATACATTATTCACAATCAAGCTACTACTGAATGATTCATTGAAAAACATAACCATTTGTATTTTTGCATGTCATTTTGCATGTCTGGAAGTTTTACCTGACAATGTCTTCCAAACCATAAATAAGAAACCGCAGAGGTCAACAAACTCACTGATGTCTTATCGATGTGGTCCTGAAGAGAGTCGATGAGCAGGTCGCCCACCGGCTGCCAGGTAGCTTTGGTCTCCTCTGCCCGTGTCAAATGCAGGTCGAGTTGGTCCATGGAGCTCTGCAGGTCCTGGAGTCGCTCCAGAGCTTGCTCCACCTGAGCCTGCCAGCCTCCCACGTGGCCCTTCAGCCGCTCCCACCGCTCCCTCACCTCCCCAGTCTGCTTGCGGATGGCTCGGGCCAGTCCTCGGGCCTTCTCCTCTGGGGTGAGTTCTGCTGAAATGTCAGGGAAAAAATATGTATTCAATGAAAAAAATAAAATAAAATAAATAAATAAATAAAATATATATATATATATATATATATATATATATATATATATATATATATTTTCTAATGTTTTTATTTTATAAAAACTCTATATTTTGTAATGAGAGAGAC